TAGCAAAGTGTAATTTCTTCAGTGTTGTCACATGAAAAGATATAATAAAATATTTACAAAAATGTGAGGGGTGTACTCACTTCTGTGAGATACTGTATGTATATATATATATATATATATATGTCTTGCACTAAGACATATCTATGCATGTCTTAGTGCACCTGTCAGTGAGTTTGAACTGTCAAAAAAATTTTTATTGGTGCTTTTGTCAGGCGTTATCAGAATTATCAGTAATTATAATACTGCTGCATAATTTTTGTTGCTCATATAAACAATACTTCATGTCTTCTCATATCAAGCTAATAAATGTTGTTGATGGTAAGGTAATCAAGGCTTTGGGCTGATGCTGCTGTTTTCTAATGGGCACACATCTGGTTGGAGCGTGGGTGGTGTGACTATGTTCCTCTCCCCATAGATGAATATCTCCTGTGAGACTTCCTGTCTCAATCTGAATACAATGAACAATGAAAACTTCATCATGGATACCTAAATATTTATTCTGATATAAACAGGAAAACACCTTTGTTTTTCTCTGAAATGGCGGTTCAGAGTAGGAGTAGGAGTAGGAGAGAATTGTCTATAGCCAGTTACATCTGTGTGTATTTCTTCACTGGGAATTCCACAATTAACATTTATTTATTTATGAAGTTGAAAACAAATTGTGTAAATGACAGCCTTGTAGCTCATGTTAGGCCTGTCTTTTAAGTTTAAACGTTATCTTAACTTTCTCTCTGTGGATAAAATGAGTGGAATTTTTACCTCAGAAACCCTTCTGTTGCTCCTTGTTTAAGCTGAGTCGGCTGTGAATGCACATGAAATGTTTTATGCTTTGATATTTCCCTTTCGCAGATCTCTTGGAGAAATCCCGTGTGGTAAAGCAGCCCAGGGGCGAGAGGAATTTCCACATTTTCTACCAGCTGCTTTCTGGAGCATCAGATGACACGCTCAGTAAGAGAACACTTAGAGAATGTATGATTACATGTGCATTCCCAACGCACAATCCATGCAGTGGCTTCCAGAACATAGTGTGGAAAAGATTGCTGGATTGCACTGAAACATACCTGAGTTAAAGACTCTGGGAACAGAATTTATGGTTCATTTGTGGTTTATTTGCATACTGTTAGACCAGTGGTTCCCAACCCTGGTCCTAGATGCACCCCAACACTGCATGTTTTGCATGTCTCGTTAATCAAACACACCTGATTCAGGTCATCAGTAGAGACTCAAAGACCTGAAATTGGTGTGTCAGAGAAAGGAGACATGCAAAATGTGAAGTGTTGGGGTGCCTCCAGGACCAGGGTTGGGAACCATTGTGTTAGACCATGGTCATTGTTTGACATTTTTAATGAAAGAGAACACAATAAAAGGCTTTGATTTCAGGCATCAAAGGGGTGAGCTGAGCAGAATACAACCTAGATGTAACTTAATCTGATAGCAACTGGGTCTTATGGAATGGCCGATACATCGAAACTAAGGAGAGTATAAAAGCAGGGTTGTCCCATCCTGCTCCTGGAGGGCCAACGTCCTGCAAAGTTTAGTTCCAACCCTAATTAAACACACCTGAACCAGCTAATCAAGGTCTTCAGACTCAATAGAAACTTCCAGGTGAGTGTGTTGGAGCTGGTTGGAGCTAAACTCTGCAGGATGTTGGCCCACCAGGAGTAGGATGGGACACCCATGGTATAAAGGGACAGTACAAAGAGTGACCACTCATAGAATAACACATTGGAAAACTTGCATCAAAGATGGTTGACAAGTGAATTGCCTTTAATGCTCTAATTGTGTTTTTCTTTCAGAAAAACTGAAGTTGGACCGAGACTTCAGCAAATACAACTACCTTAGCCTGGATTCGGCAACAGTCAATGGACTGGACGATGCTGCCAGTTTCAGAACAGTTAGAGTAAGTTTTCTTTCAGGCCTTCCATACACTACATACACTCTTAAAAATAAAGGTGCTTCAAAAGGTTCTTCTAGCGATGCCATAGAAGAACCATTTTTGGTTCCACAAAGAACCATTCAGTCAAAGGTTCTTTAAAGAACCATCTCTTTCTTACCTTTTTATAATCTGAAGAACCTTCTTTCACCACAAAGAACCTTTTGTGAAACAGAAAGATTCTTCAGATGTTAAAGGTTCTTTATGGAACCATTTAGACAAAAAGGTTCTTCTATGGCATCGTGAAGCACCTTTATTTTTAAGAGTGTAAAGTAGCTGGTTCCTGACACATTATAGCATATGTCATTGGTTCAGACTGTCTTGGGATTAGCTCAGATCCATGGCACCCTGTATGATGAGAAGTTAGCAAAGCATGTTATCTCCCTGGCTTAACTGGATAAGATCACCCTTTACCCACTGAGGTGGAGTTTGATCTGAACAAAAAAATTTGCATTATGTCATCGTGTAATTTGAGCTTCATTCAAGCCTCTACTTGAAGACAGGGAAGTTGATTTAAGGGGGAATTCCACCTGCTCACAGCTGACGTGTAAATGGAATCAGTGCTTCTGTTTTTCTCATGCACACACTTATTGTCATTGTGAAAACGGGTCGTGCGGAGGATGGACTGTCATTGCAAAGTTTAACAATAAGGATTGATTTCTGCAAGCCTTGTTGAGCCAGTAGTTTTGCTTCCTTTGGACTCTTGCCTCACTGGCCTGGAGACAAAAAAATATTATATATTTTTTTTAACATATTTTGCTTCTGACTTACAGAAAAAGGTTTTACTATCTAATTTGTATTTATTTATTTAACCAGGCAGATTAAAAAAAAAAAGACATGTATTTTTGGAAGCTTTCATAAGGGTTTATAATTTACAATAATAGCTGTAAATTATGTAAGGGATCAAGTGAAGGGTAGTTGTTAGCTGGTCACTGTTGTAAAATAAACAAGGTGACTGCCATTTAGAAGCATCTGGAATGTATTGAAGAAAATTAATTTTTTCATTAAAAAAGAAAATAGCTATAATTTTACACTAACAGTAAAAAGTCACTAAGGGTTGGTAAGATTCTTAAATATTTTTGAAAGAAGTCTTGTATGCTCAACCAAAGCTGCATTTATTTGATCAAACATACAGTAAAACAGAAAACCGTAATATTGTGAAAAATTATTACAATTTAAAATAATTATTTGCTATTTTCATATATTTTAAAATGTAATTTATTCCTGTGAAGCGGAGCTGAATTTTTAGCATCATTCCAGTCTTCAGAGTCACATTATCCTACAGAAATCATTCTAATATGCTGATTTGAGCTCAAAAACATTTATTATTATTTTCAGTGTTGAAAACAGTTGTGCTACAATAGTTGTGCTTTTGTAACATTAAAATTTTTTTACCATCACTTTTGATCAATTTAATGCAACTTCACTGACCCCAAACTTGAAAAGTAGTGTATTTACACTGGGAAAACACAGGAAGTAACGCATAATGTGCTTGAATATTACATTTTTGACAGTGTTGCTGCCTTTTTTTATTTTCTGGCCCGTTAAGACAAGTGACTTTTCCATCAACTAGCCCAAACTTTTTTTGTTTGGGCCCGGACCTTTGGGTCATCCTTATTGTGGAGCCCTGTTCTTTACTTGTCTTCTGGAAATGAGGGCAGAATGTCTGTGTCCAAGCAAACAATGCAGCCCACATTAAACTGATCAGAATTCAGCACCATATCAGAGAATACAGTGCAGTTCTGATGAACAATAGGTCTAAGCCAAGCTCCTTGCTGACGTCAGAACATCCTAACTCGGCATGTGCTGGGCCTCTGGCTCTGTCTTTTAACCTCTTGCCTGGGGAGTCAAATCTAATTAATTAGAAACATGCCTTTTTTGCAGTGTAGACATTTGTAGTTTATAAGGTTCAGCATAAATAAGGCTCTGTGTGTAGGAGACAGTAAACACTTCCACGAGGGAGGATGGTTTCTATTTATGCTAGGCTGTAAATAATATACAAAACTCAGCAGAACGTTCATTCTTAGAGACACGACATGCTTGTCTTGTTAACATGAAAAAAAAATATATATAAGTGTGTTTACACTCTGGAAGCATTAAATTGTGTTACTATTTATTCAGAGATAAAGAAAGTTATTGGGTTGTCATTCACTTTTAGCTGTCACATTTCAGCCCTTTACAGCTCACTCACTGTTATCTCCGACCTTTATACCATTGACTTTGCCAGTGAACTGCTTGCACGTTTATTATCAGTGATTCCTTGACATTTTGAACGTAATTTATGGCTTCACGAGAACAAATATGAACACAAGCTATTGTGGAAGCACAAGGAACATGATGAATCATAAGCTGCTGATGATTCTATTGGCTAAATCTACTGTAAAAATGGAAAAATCTGTTACTTATTTCCTTGTACACCCATAAATTAACAATATTAAATGAATAGTTCGCACAAAAATTAAAATTCACTTACCCTAAAGCTGTTCGAAACTTGTACAGCTGTTGAACACAAAATAAGTTATTTTGAAAACAAGGTTTATAACCAAGCAGTCGCTGGTAGCCATTGACTTGACTAATAGTAAAGAAAAAAGTACTATGGAACTCATTCCAGCAACTGTTTGGTTACCAACATTCTTCAAAATATCTTTGTGTTCAACAGAACAAAGAAATTCATATGGGTTTGCAACAACATGGGGGTGAGTAAATTATGAAATTATTTTAATTTATGGCTCAACTATCCCTTTAAGGTGAATCATGCCATATTTTACTCAAATCAAAATATATAAATAAAGAAATAAAAGATGTGTTTTGAGTTGAGAACATTTCCCATATTTATGGTTGAATTGAGATCATGAGACGACAATATATTATATAATATATAAAAAAAATATTTTTTCCCTTGATTTTTAAAGCGGTCAAATACAAGTTATTCTTAAGACCAGCTGCAATCCTTAATCTTTTCTCTTTGACAGACTGTGGTGTGATGGAAATTTTTGTTCAACACCCTCAGGCTGTCCATTAGTGGTGTGGTTACGGGCCAGTCAATCACTTTACAGACGCCACCATATGTACTGCCATGTTAAATGCCCATCAGCAGACCACTATTGACTAAATGTATTTTCTCTTCTGTTTTCCCAGAATGCCATGCAAATTGTGGGCTTCATGGAGGATGAGGTTCAGTCAGTACTGGAGCTGGTGGCTGCTGTTCTCAAACTGGGAAACATCGAGTTCAAACCAGAGTCTCGTTGCAATGGCTTCGATGAGAGTCGAATCAAGGACAAGAACGGTGAATGCTAGGCTCTTCCAAAAAGCATTGCCGATGCAAACCTTACATTAGTTTTTTAAACTTTGGGTTTGTAAAGGAAAGTACACTTCCCAAGAAACTTTCAAGTGTGAATGATCAGACATCACAATCAGTATTGATGATACAATGACATAAACATTTGCAAGCACTGAAAACCAAATTAATATGAATTGTGAAATAGCAGGTACTGTGGTCTTGTATATAACAGTGCCTTCATCTGCTCACCAGGTTGGTCACTACTGCCATCTATTGATATGTCAAGAGTCATTTACAGTATTAGCTTGCAGTTGGTTGTACACAGTCAATCAACACCGCACTGGTACTTACCCAGATAACCCTTGCATCCTGTACCATGAATGCATAAGATAATGATAAAAACATTTGTATGTATTTGTAAAGCCAGATAAATGCCTTCTTGATTAACAGGTAAAGGATATAATATTTTAAGCAGTGACAAATGTGTTCTGTTATGCGCTAGAAATAATCTAAAATTATTTTCAAATTATCCTATACGTTTACCACAGTTTAATGAACAAATGAACGCATTCAAAATAATGCAAAAACATTTGCAGGCCTGAAACGGCTCCAAATAATTTTCATGGGAAACCAAAAAGTTTAACCTAAAATTTTAATGCTAAATAAATAATAATAATAATAAAAAAAGTTATGTGTCAACTACCCAAATATATGTGCTGCAAATGAGTATTACTTATCACTGCATATTCTAGTAGTTTCCTATAGCCAGGGCAGTGGCCGGCCCAGACTAAACATCACAATCCATGTCAACACCTCCATTTATATATACTACAGCGTCTGGTTTGTCTCCTGTGCTTAAACCCATTAGCAATAATGTGCTTTCTCTGCCCTTTTGACCTGATAGCTATGGGCTGAATTGAGACCGATTGAGCTGCTGTGGGATGAGGTGGTTGTATACCTGATGTCCAGATCCTCTCAAAACCCCTAGAGAAGAAGCACTTTTAAAATACTCTTCAGCTTAAACTCCTTGAAAGGGGTTTAACATGTCTTTACCTTGACCTCTAGATTCTGAGAGACAGGCCTTTGATCAGAATGATTGTTGGTTTTAATTTTAAATGCACTAAAGTTGTCTTATAGAGGTTTTATAGAGAATTTATGTTTATCTTTGGCAATTGGCAAATTTGTTTAAATTACATAACACACTGTCTAGTCTATCCATAAATAATTCTTTAATCTGATCTGCCTGGGTTTGTTTTGCATGCTGACTTTATCATTGTTGTCATACTAAATCCCACAACTGTTTACCATAATGCAGAGAACTACTTCTCAGGCCTACTAATTCACCTTTCAACCATTTTACATTTGTCCATTGCATGTGTTCTGCTGTCTGACTGTCTATCACTCTCTCCTGAATGTTGTTTATGTTGTTATGGCCATGACGACAGAATGGAGTAAGTAGACCTGAGGAGGAAATCCCAAGGCAGTGTGCATGCTGCGATTTTAGCACTTAATCCTAGTCTTAATTCTGATCTTGTATCTCCGCAGCATAAGCCACTGCTAGAGCAAAACCCTGAAGTGTTTCCTAGTAGTATTAGTATGACCTGTACGCTTGATGTTACAGCATTAGCTCTATTCATCCTAAACTTGGAAGGCCTTAAAGGAACAGTTCACCTAGAAAGGGCAATTCTGTCATTATTTATCACCCTCAAGTTGTTCCAAACCCATATCATATGGCTTCAGAAGACTTTGAATATATTGCATGAGTAATACAGACTATTTGTATGGTTCTTTTATAGTGTTTTTTGGAGCTTGAGGGTGATTTAGCATGACTCAATTTTCCTTTTTGGGTGAAGTATTTCTTTAAGCTTCACTGAAACCAGCCAGAGATCTGCAGTGATTTTTGAGCTTTTGGGGCTTCAGAAAATGTAAGAGATGTTGAGGTTATTCTTTGAACAGGGTTACCTCTCATTACTTCTAGAACACTGCAGATCCAGTCTGACATGCCAGTGTGGCCTCTCAGCAAAGGCTGCCAGAATAAAACTGCCAGTGCCAAGTAAAACAATGAGCTGGTGCTTTTCAGCGTGCCATTTGCTGCCTTTTGGAAGTGATTGTGGGCTTTTTCTCAAGCCAGGCCCATTGGAACTGATGATTGCAGTGGCTTTAGTTGCAGAGACTATCATACAGTAGGATTGCTATAAAGATTAAAAAAAGATTGAATAATTCCTGAACCCCAGTGTCATGGCAAAATAGTACAATCCTAACTGTTTATCATAAGCCAATGAGCATAACATTGAGTATTACTCTTGCTTTAATTCAACAATGGAGTTGGTTCACTGATTGGAGTTTTCTAACCCTGCGTTTGTAAACCTGAAAACATTTACTGTGGGTGAAGAGGTTAAAGACTTCACCTCCATCAAGAGATGCAGATAAGATTATGCAGCCTTGATGTATATTGTACCATGTTAACGCCTTAATTTAATCTTAGCTATAGAGACCTGTTTTTTAAGAGCAGACTTTGTTCAGGGCTATTTTACATGTGTTCTAGAAGTGATTTGCTCTGAATTCTTTAAGGCGGTGCCCCACAAGACTATTTTAAATAATTCTGTTGTGGGTGTCACACCAACCGTTTTCACCAGAAACATACATTCATCTGTCAGAGTTCCATCAAACAGCAGTTAAGAATGAAAGATGGGTGGCACTAAACAACTGCATGTGAACGTTCTCCAGTTTCCCTATCATGAATTGCAGAGTGCCATCTTGGCAGCAAACCAGTGTGAAGCTTGCTGAAGTAAGAGCATACATTGTTGCAGAGCTTCAGTGGGACGACGTAGTTTAGAGATGGTATTATATTAGGGAAAACAACAAATATTTACAGATTTTCTGAAATATATATATTTTTGACATTCTTCCCCAAAGGCCCCAAAATTTCCAATATATCCACCTTATAGAGTTACCCAGAGAAAGGTGTTTAGTAAATAACGTTGAGTGACGGTTGCCATATTAGTGCGCCTGTTTGCAGTGGTGTTTTAGTTTGCAGTGTACATTTTAATTACCACAGTTATCATTTGTTCCATGGATTCTCATTTATCTTTTTATTCTTGCAGGACAACAGTTTTGAACAGTTCATTATCAACTACTGCAATGAGAAGCTCCAGCAAATCTTCATCGAGCTTACTCTCCGCGAAGAGCAGGAGGAGTATATCCGTGAGGTAAGCAACAGCCAGTACATGAAGACAAATAGGAAATGGTCTTCTCTCAATGTCTGCAACTCTAACAGTTTTTGAATGAAGTTACCTTGGAGGGAAAGTGCTTTGGGACAGGTACCATAACATCACATTTACTGCTGTAGAACATTTTTTATACATAATAAAGAAATGTCTTTCTAAAAATGGAATTTAAATAAAAAATAATGGTCGTTTATGAATTATTTGACTTCGGTCAACCACAATCCTGCACACATAGGATTGTGGGATATATATCGTGAACAGTCAACAGTGCAAAGGCAGCATTCCTAGTTTCGGATACATCTATCCACTTGCTTTTTTAAATTGTTTAATATACAGAGTTTATTGCACGGTATGGCGTATGTAGTAAGCTAGTGTTTTCTTCCAAACAGTCTTTGTCTACTATTTGCTTCCTTCTATCAATCCTTCCCCTTTCGCGCTGTGATTGTGGGGACGGAAACGATCCTTAAAGTTATTTATGTTGCTGACTTTATCATTGTTGTCATACTAAATCCCACAACTGTTTACCATAATGCAGAGAACTACTTCTCAGGCCTACTAATTCACCTTTCAACCATTTTGGTTTACATTTGTCCATTGCATGTGTTCTGCTGTCTGACTGTCTATCACTCTCTCCTGAATGTTGTTTATGTTGTTATGGCACCCCCGACAGCTGGATTCCAGTTCAGAGCCTCAGTTGGAACGCTCATGAAGAACCTGCTGACCAAGAACCCCAACTACATCAGGTAACAATCACAAAGCTTTTGACTCTGATCTCATTATGACATAACCATATATGTATATATATATATATATATATATTCTTTTTTGTATTATTATTATTTTTTATTAAACGGCAAGCTTAAAATAAATAATTAAAAAATGTCTAGTTTATTTAGAAACATACAATATTTTCACTTTACCAAACTTGTTTTTCAGGTGCATCAAACCCAATGACAAGAAAGCAGCCCACATTTTCACAGACTCACTAGTGTGTCACCAGGCGCGCTATTTGGGTCTGATGGAGAATGTACGCGTAAGAAGGGCTGGTTATGCTTTCCGCCAGCCCTACGAGCCCTGTCTGGAGCGCTACAAGATGCTCTGCAAGCAAACTTGGCCCCACTGGAAGGGCCCAGCCAGGTTAGACCACCAATGATCTTATGTTTTTTGTGTTGTTTTAAAGAACTCTTCTTCAGGCTTCACTGTTTTTCTGAACATGTTGTTCAGCTGATGTCATTATACTGTCATCACATTTGAGATTAAGCAAATCTTTAAGTGACTGTACCTCCACCTGCATGACTTTTTTATACTCATTCGTAGATATTTAAACATGCTGTTTCTTGTCTTAAATCTCCCTTCATTCCTTTCAGGTTTAACGGTTTCTTTAACACCGCTTGGCTACAGAAAACAGCCTTTTTTATTTACTTCTATCTGATGGCAAACATGCCAAGACAGAATTGGGCCTCATAACTTTGTCCCTTCTGGACATTGAGTCATTTCACTAAATAGTTTGATAGGAGAATCTTTAGTGTTCATGGAGATTTTGGTGTTGCACATCTTATGTTATCTTGCATTGGAATGTTGTTATCGTCTCTATGCCGACAGTGGTTAGACTATGTTTTACTTTTCATTCAGGTCACTCAGACACTGTTTGTTATCACTCACATGGTGCATGTTTCTGTTCTAAATCATACGGTGCACCTTTACTTTGTTTTATTGTCTCCTGTCTGACTTATTTTGTTGCTGTCTGTTCAGTGATGTGGGTGTATTCAGTCCACAGTCTGAAACTGCACTGAAAATAACAGATTATAATTTTTTTTTAAACCTGGTAATATAAATAAATATTTTGCACTATTTGCAATCTTGATCGTGTGTAGATCTGTCAGAGTGTGGCACTAGCAATACCAAGGTTGTGGGTTCAATTCCCAGAGAATGAGCATATTAGCAAAATATATAACTAGAAGTTGCTTTGCATAAAAGCATCTTCCAAAAGCATATTAAACAATGAAAACCTTTAGCGCCCTTGTCAGCTCAAGTGTTTCTCTTTTTAAAAGAATTCCTCTTTTTAAAAGATCAGGTGATATTTTAATTTATTCTTTTTTTTATGCTCAAGTTGTTGTTTAGAAGCATTTTCACAAGTGGTCTCAGACTTTTGGACCTACCAAATCAATTTTTTTGTAAATGGCCTGGCTCACTGACAACTCATGGCCTGTTTTCTTATCAGGGAGGGTGTCGAGGTTCTCCTTAAAAATCTGCAGGTTCCTGCGGAGGAGTTTGCCTTTGGACGTTCAAAGATCTTCATCAGGAACCCAAGAATGGTAAGTGAGTTATTGCCCTAAAGATCATTGAGTGTAATCTTGATGCAGTTATACAGAAGACGGCTCTGTCCTTGTGAGAAACATGGCAAATACTGTATATCATTTGGCTCCTTTCCAGTTCCAGCATGGCGGATGGCTTGGATTTGTACGTTTGATATGAGGAATCAAAAGGCCAATGCAAGTATTACGTATGGTCTCTTAAGGGTTTTGTAAGGCTTTTAAAGCAGGAAGTCATGTTCCTTCAGGCTTCTCTTGTATAATTAGTAGCAATCGCCCTCATGAAAGAAAGAAACGCAAACAGGCAGTCACACACATGGTTTCACTTATCCCCCCATCCACTGTTTGTCAGTTTGCATGGGAAACGAGACTCCAGCTGAGAAATTCCAGAGGAGCCCATGAAACCCCTGTATTGAAGCCTGGGCATCAGTCATCAATCGAGCACTGTGTGGAGTATTTATCTTATCCTTGTCCATTCCTCCTGCATAATCTACCATCTACAGATGTTTGTTCAAAGCCAGTGGATGACTTCTGCCCAGCCTTAATGTAGTCTAGTCATCTTTCACCTCTTTTCCGCCAAAATGTTGTTGGTGCCCTTGCTTGGACAAGGGATCTACAAACTCAATGATGTAATAGACTTTGTTTCTACATAACCTGGCCACAGACAAGCAGCGCATCACAATCTTTGGATACGAGTCTAAAGGTCCGGTCACATTTATCATTGCTCAGTGAAATTTTGCAGGCATAATCCAGTAATTTCAACGTACTATCCTGACAATGAAAAGTTCCTCACAAATTTTTCTCATGTTCAAGCTGTTCACACAAATCCACTGTGTTGACCAACAAAAAGCTGCTCGATTTGAAAGTGGCTTAGCTGTGCTTCATACGTCACAACACTATTGCCAATGGACCTTTTTTGCTGCAAAATTTTGCAACTTGCAATGATGTGACCACACCTTTACTCCAGGATTTGAGAACTTATTTTAACCATTTGTCCCATTTTTCGAACCTATTTAGACCAGTTTATTGATTACAATGTAAGGGAACTAGTTTAGCATAGAGTTGTTGCTGTTGGCCTCTGACATTAGCAATTCCTGGTTCAAGAAACCCAGCTGCTTTAAAAGGGTAAGCCCCAAGTTTTCTTGCCCAGAACCACCTTTCTGTGCTGAAAACTCCAGATAGGTCTTAACTCTATAACTATATACATTTTGTTCAGACCAATTTGGCAGACACTGTCAAACAGCTACTTAATACCAGAGGATGCTGGTCCCACTATGGCTGGAATTTATTTTGCTGGTCTTGGCGATCATCATCAGAATCCTGTGGCATATAAAAAGGACATCATGTGGTCTCACAAAAGTTCTCTATATCAAATTTGTGGGAATTTTTATCCTTGGGAATTTGATCATGTATCTTTGCTTGCTCACACTGCACACAGATCTGATTTGTTTTTCAAATCCGATCTTGTTCAAATCTGCAACAGACTATCATTTTGCAAGTGATGAAATCTGATCCGTTCATTCATACAATGTTTATCTACATCAGTTGCTAAAGTAATGATGTAGCCATCAGCACAATGCCAACAGCTGAAAGTATGGAAAGAGAAGATGGAAACCTTTATTTTAATGTCTTGGCTCTTGTTCACCATGACGTATCAGTGTGGTGCTGAGATGCATCAGCAATAAAGGAAGTTTTATACATTAATGCATATGTTGTGTTTGAAACTGAACTGAGATGTGGATATGGGTGTGGTTTATATCAGGTTTGTAAAAGGCTGATTTTTTGTTTTTCTTCAGCTCTTCTTCTTGGAAGAGAAGAGGAGGCAGTGCCTAGAGGATCTGGCAACCCTCATCCAGAAGATCTACCGTGGTTGGAAGTGCCGCACTCACTTTCTCCTGTTGAAGAAGAGCCAGGTGGTGGTGGCCGCCTGGTACCGAAGATTTGCGGTGAGCACCATTCACTACACCTGCCACAGAACACATTAATTGTTTCTGGGATCAGAGGTAGAACTTTTTTTTTAAACTCAAAATTGCTGGTTGTTTTTGATTGTAGCAACAAAAGAAGTACCAGAACATCAGGTCCTCTGCCTTAGTGGTTCAGTCATTCATCCGAGGATGGAAGGTAGGTTTCAGGTGCACTGCATGTCATTTCCTTTAGCGAAAAAAGGGCTTTCCTCACTGTCTAACCCCTTTTTCACAGGCCCGGAAGCTTCTGCGTGAGCTGAAACACAAGAAGCGGTGCGAAGAGGCCGTCACAACTATTTCTGCCTACTGGCATGGAACTCAGGTACTGAACACAGTTTCTTCTTGAAAAAGGAAATGGTGAATTGTGTGGTTCGATTTTCAATGCTGGAGCTTCTCCACTGCTTTTGCTTTGTTTTTCTCCTTAAGTCCTAATCTCACTTCTGCTTTTGATGCGACTTACTCTTTTCGGTCACTCTCTTCTTGTCATTTTTCTGACTTTAACCTTTGCCATCCTGTCTCTGCTTCCACGTGGCCCTCCTCGGCTAACATCCGCAGGCTCGCTGGGAACTGCGGCGTCTTAAGGAGGAGGCACGGAATAAACACGCCGTGTCTGTCATTTGGGCAGCTTGGCTTGGAACTAAGGTATTTAAAGAGTCTGCCAAACGTAGTCATCTCCCATCCCGCCTCACCCAAGCTGTGAATGGCATTCCTTTTGTTTGCTTTTGACTAACTGTTTTATTATCTTGTAGGTAGCATTTTATGCTAAATAATCGGGAAATACTAACATATTGTTCTTTTGCTGACATGGTGGTGGCAGATGGTGAAACATCTGTACCTAAATATGAAAAGGTGTATGAATTTGAGTGCATGTATGAATCTTATGTTCTTAAAACTAACCCATTTCGAGTTCTACTTCATAACCCTTAATAATATTGAAAAACTGCTTATATGTTTGTGCTTTCATGTTTTAAAGTTTCAAGACTATACTGACTTTGTTCTACTGCACTTTTTTTTAACCTTCATGACATTCATAATCTTTGATTTTATTTTAACTTTTTACAACCTCAGGTTCAGTCAGAGCTGATTAGTTTTGAATTTGAACGGTATTGACCACACCCTAATTGTGATTTATAACAAAAGTTTGAGGAATTTGAGGAACGAGTCACTTAACAGAAATGTAAGAAGTCCAACAAAATGACACAAGTGCTGAAACAAAACATGGAAAATTACGTCATTGCTTTGGGCTAATTATGCCGATGCAGAATCAATCTAAACCCCAAATTACCTGATTGTTTTTTTTTTACTTGACAGTTATTAGACATATTTCTAAGACAGTGGGAGAATAAACAGCCATCACAACTGATTTAAATTATGTGAGAGAGTACCACAATATGTCCACTTGTAACAGCATAATAAAAATCTTATTTAAAATTAAAATGGAAATGGATGTAATATTTTGAGCTGTTTTCTAACAATAAAAATAAATCAAATCCACATCACACACCATTAATTGAACTGCATTCTCAACTCTGATAAATACACCTACCAACTATAATCTTGCAGCAAGCCATTTGTTTTTAAAAAGTGACTGATGTCTGTCCTGGCTGGCTATGTAGTTATTCTCAGTGTCACAATTGAAACGATAAAAGACGTGGCCTATATGCTGATATAAATGTTTACAGGACAAGACCTGACGAAGGTCAGTTTAGTCATTTGAATGTTACATTAATAGGGCTGATAAGCACGAATGACAAGTTATTTTAACAAGAATAGTACTTTTAACAAGTTATTGTCTCTCCGAAAATGTCCTGATTTACAACACTCTTGTCTTTTCTTTAATGTCTGTGCTTAATACCTTTCCACCATCCTCCTCTTCATTTTCTTAAAAAAAAAAAATGGCACACTGAACAGGCTCGGAAGGAACTGCGGCGCTTAAAGCATGAAGCTCGCAGTAAACAGGCCGTGTCTGTCATTTGGGCCTGCTGGCAAGGAACTAAGGTATTCACCACTATGTCTTTATGGCATCCCATCCTCCATTTAACCCATCTCACACCTCCATATGTACCTGAGGTGGATCATGACCCATGTTCCCTGAGCTCATCCCATCCATTGTGCATGCCAACACATTCAGGATCCCACAGCATGAATCATACTTGCATTGTAGCCGATTGTAGAAATAAGATGAATGGGATGGCTGAGGATGGGAACCCGGGAGAGCAGGGTCGGCGTGTGTTGCGTTGGGGGCAGAACTGAATGTGATCTTTTAAGCCTCTTTCCTCTGATTGCCGATGGATTAAAGCTCATCCAGACGGGCACCCTGCAGGCCGATTCCCACGCAGCAGGCTGGTGTCACAGCCGGCACGACCTCTGTCCATACCAAGTGTCCCATTTTATTAAGCACTCCCTTGGAGTGAGTCTGGACCCCATGTGTTTGGTCATATCTTACGATATTCAGTAAGGGCATAAATCAGGGATATGCAAATTTTTGTAGCATGGTGTTTTTGTTAGTTTTACAGAAAACTGTAGGATTTAGATATAAAATAAAAATAAAAAATGTTTTAATTAATTTCTTTTACTTTAATATGTTAGGCTATCAAAGTTACTCTGTAAAAAAAAAAAATTACAGTTTTATCATTTACAAAGTATTGTGGACTAAAACAATTTTTTTATTTATTTTAGTTGTAATTAATTGTAATTTATTGGGTGGCTTTTTTGTAGAAAAGCAAGGCAATTAAGAATCAGTAAATGAAAAAGCCTGATCAAATTTAGTTTTAAAATGTGTAACCAAAAACCACAGATAGTCTTGGACGAGCCTTGTGTGTTTATGCCAGTGTCTTGATGGACCCAGTTAGTGATATAAATAATCCTGATTAGTAAAAAATGAAATATGGTTTGATGAATTGCAAAACCTAAAATTATCTGATTATCAATCAAATATAAATATATTACGCACGTTTTAGACTAATGCTGTGACATTAAAACACTACAGTGCTTTATAATCAATGCACTTGCCTGTTGCCGTCTTGGTTTATTATAACGTGAGCGTTTTGATTGCCTGAGTAACCTCATGGCAGGCTGGTTTTGGTCTGTGAGGTGGACGTTGAGTATCCCTGGTGTAGATTTTATCCTATAGATGAGAAAAATCATCTCATTCCATCCACAAGCCCATGCGAACTTCTCTTTGCATGTTGGGATTGTACTGCACTGCTGTTTCTTCCCACCCCATCTGAGTGGCCTTTGCCTTGTTGAGGTTGATGTGGCTTGTTTTATTGTGTGTTTGTGTGGTGTGAGCATTTAAGAGAGCAGTTGTGCTCTTACTTTCCTTGTATTGCTCTTTTTCCCTTCTTCTCACTCATGTTTTGTTAACCCCATGAAAAGAAATGTGCTCTCCACAGGAAAACCTCAACATTGTCCATCTGTCTTAACCAATGGCAAACACAGAGTTTCTTTACCAGCCGGTAATGGTGTGTGATGTGTGCCTATCTGTGGACCATGCTGCTCCTTCTCGAGCCGCTTTTTACAAATATTTCTCTCCTTTCTGCATTCATCCCCTTCTTCCTCCCTCTTTCACAGGCACGTAGAGAGCTGAAATGTTTGAAGGAGGAAGCCAGGCGTAAGCACGCCGTCGCTGTCATTTGGGCCTACTGGTTGGGACTAAAGGTATCTTCCAACCATTTGCCAGGCGTTTGAGTCTTTAGGAAATGAGTAGGAAGCGTCCACATAACCAGCCTCTCTGTCACATAACCAGCTTCTCTGCTATGAACTAACAATATAATCTAACCCCAGAGTTCAGTTCCACAGGTCCATTAGCATCCAAGGCAGTGATGCACATTAGTGTTGTCATAAGCCAGGGCAAAGTAAGGCTTTAGATACTGGATGCATCTCCATAATGCAGAATCAAATCTGTTCTCATAATCCAGGGCTTTAGAAAAGCTTCCTCTGGAGAGATTGGAGGCAGATGCTTTTCCTTCTGTATTCCTAAAAACTGGCACTGGGCAAAATAGCTGTTAGCGTGACACTGTTGCAGCCTGCCTGATGATACGTCTGTGTTTGTCAGGGGTTGTTAAGGTCAGTGGGTGTTTTGCACATGTGTATGGGACCGTTCTTTACGTTTATAAAACTGATTGATCATTGATGCATTTTATATATATATATATATATATATATATATATATATATATGTATATATATGTATATATATATATATATATATATGTATATGTGTATGTATGTGTTGTCCAAGATCATGAGAATCCTGGTTCTTAAAAATGACAATTGTTAATGGATGAATTAAAATATGTATTGATTTTTAGCATATTTTAAACCTAGTTTTATCTTATTTTAAATCATTTTAAGAATAAAAATAACCATCCTAAGTAACTGTTTTTATTTAGTGCTTATTACCTCTAAATAGAGGGGAACTCTGACCAAAGTCAACACCGTTTCTGCATAACAGACCATTATGACGTCATTTAAGAGTGCTGCCACTTGCAAAATGAGCTATAGGATAAGCCAGGCTTTATGAAAAAAGTCTGCCTTGTGAGATTTCATCTGAATTACAGAGCAGAATTGCATGAATTTATTAATGACTAAAACTTTGCCCTAGTAGCCCAACGCTAGGACAGCTATATTTTCTGTCTGTTTCTGTGTGCCTGTCCTGTCTGCATGCTGCTCCTAACGTTCTGTTGGCTTTTACAGACATTAAAGGTCTTTGTTGTGTTGTCTCCACTGTTGTTTTTGTTGTTGTTATTGTTTTATAAGTGCTTTTTGCTGTCATTACTGTTTTTTTCATGTAGGGGTCTTAGGGGTGGCTTCTGCCTTTACAGGTTCTGTAAAGATAACTGTGTACTGTATGACTGTGGATCTCTCATTGTTTTGATCACAACATCAGTTCTCTTTTGTCTTTGCTTTCCAGTGTGCTGCTCTTTAGGTGTTAAAACCCTGTTTGTCACAAACCACTTGTCTGTCCTGACAGTGTCTTGTCCCATTGCTGCTGTCATCACAAAACTTTCAATACAAAAAGTGACTAATTAAACCCACCTTTTTCACAGGTCCGTCGGGACTATAGGAAGTTCTTCAGAGCTAATGCTGGCAAGAAGATCTATGACTTCACCATTCAGAGAATTGTAAGTCACTTAAGTAGCTGATTTGCCTACTCATTTCTGTTAATCACCTAATCATCCAGAAAAGTAGTCTTACTTGTTGGTGGTACACTGTTTGCCATGTAAATCACCACAAGCTGTGCAACATCTGGTCTTTGCAGTTTCTGGTAAGTACATTTGATGGAGAGCATGGCTTGTTTGTTACATGCTTTGTAAAGCCAAAGATCCTGCTTCACTTTTTCACTTTCATTTCAAATATGCTTGGCCACAACCAATTGTACCAAGCTAGTGACATACTCCTAAGTCCATGTATACAACAAGTGCAAATTAAGTCATGTCTTTTACATCTAGTACACTTCATGTATCCCAACACATTGATTAGTGCAATAAGAAACCAAGTAGTTACCACTAGGAAATTATTTCTGACACGTTCTCTGCCTTTCATCATTCTCCCGAGAAGAAAGAAAATACTCCCATAAGGGACTAATGTGAGTTTTTGTGTACAGATGCAGAAGTACTTCATGGGCTTGAAGAAAACAATGCCTTCCATGTCACCAGTTGACAAGAGCTGGCCAGCTCGCCCCTACGGTTTCCTGGATGGGATGCATCAAGATCTCAGGAGGATTTTCCATCTGTGGAGGGTTTGTGTCTTTAGACACATCTGTATATAAATATACAGGTGCATCTCAATAAATTAGAATGCCGTGGAAAAGTTCATTTATTTCAGTAATTCAACTCAAATTGTGAAACTCGTGTATTATATAAATTCAATGCACACAGACTGAAGTAGTTTGTCTTTGGTTCTTTTAATTGTGATGATTTTGGCTCACATTGAACAAAAACCCACCAATTCACTATCTCAACAAATTAGAATATGGTGACATGCTAATCAACTCCAGAGCCCCTACCAAGTATTGAGTACATCTACAGTAAATTAACATACTTTCCAGAAGGCCAACAATTCACTAAAAATGTTATTTTTTTATTGGTCTTATGAAGTATTCTAATTTGTTGAGATAGTGAATTGGTGGGTTTTTTGTTAAATGTGAGCCAAAATCATCACAATTAAAAGAACCAAAGACTTAAACTACTTCAGTCTGTGTGCATTGAATTTATTTAATACACAAGTTTCACAATTTGGAGTTGAATTACTGAAATAAATGAGCTTTTCCATGACATTCTAATTTATTGAGATGCACCTGTATATCTAAAATTAACTGTTAAGACCTTTGTCATGTCTGGTTTTAAATGAATCTATCCTTATGGTGTCCTTCAATTAGTGTAAGAAATACCGCAGCCAGTTCACAGAAGAGAAGAAGGCTACCTACGAGGAGAAGCTTGCGGCTAGTGAACTCTTCAAAGATAAGAAGGCCTTGTATCCTAGCAGGTAGGGAAAAACTGTTCACCTAAGTTCATTTTTGTACGTTTACTCTATAAAAAAAATTGTACTGCCATAACACACATCCTCTGCTTTACAGTGTGGGTCAGCCTTTCAAAGGAGACTATGTGGAGATAACCAAAAACCCAAAGTACCAGAAGCTCAATAGCTTGGTGGAGGATAAAGTTTTGCTGGCAGATGTGGTCAGTAAAATCAACCGTGCCAATGGCAAGGTGAGGACACTTAGCTCTGTGCCAGTAGAATTTACGGTATGACAGATAAATGACGGGCATTCCAAGCTGCTGATAAGATGTTGTTGTCCGTCATTTTGACCATCAATCATACTGAACTCTCTGTAACACATAAACATCTTTTTTTGACAAATTCCCAAATGTATTACATTACATAACATTTAGTCATTTAGCAGACGCTTTAATCCAAAACAACTTACAAATGAGGACAATAGAAGCAATCAAAACCAACAAAAGAGCAATAAAATGCAAGTGCTATGACAAGTTAGCCCAACGCAGTACACGTAGCAAAGTTTTGTTGTTGTTATGGTTAAACAGCTGTTGTGTTACATGTAATTTGGATCTGAGTAATCTTGACAAATACAAGTGCTGGCTCAGACAAATTTAGAATGTTCTTCCAAAGGCAAAAAATGTCTATGTTTGCATTTTATGGTCAATTTAGGTCCTTTCATCCTAAACGTTACCTTTAAAGACAACTTCATTTTTAGGGAGCGCCAAGAATTTTCCTCCTGACCAAGAAGAGCTTTGTTCTGGCTGATCAGAAGACGGGCCAGGTGAAGGCCAGCGTTCCCCTGCTGGACCTCAGCAGTGTTTCTGTGAGCACACAGAGCGATGGTTTTTTCGCCCTCAAGCTCAAAGAGGTTTGACATTCAATATCTCGTCTCATTTAGGGCACCATGTGAGTCAGGACCAATATTGACCGTGATCTCTCTTTAGGGTTCTACATCTGCAGCCAAAGGTGACTTCCTGCTGAGCAGTGATCGACTGATTGAGATCATCACCAAACTTCATCGCATTGGTGCTGCTTCAGCTGACAGAAACCAGATCAATATCGATATTTCAGATGAGTAAGTGTCCAACATTTCTGTGTATCTTGTTTCCTCAGTATCACTCTTGTGTCTTAACTTACTCTCTCCCTTTCAGGTTCTTAGTGCAGTTCAAGCAGGACAAAGTGTGTGTTAAATTCATCCAGGGTACACCAAAGAACGGCAACGGTGTCGCCTGCAAACGTAAAAACAACCGTCTTCTGGAAGTGTCTGTTCCGTCACCATAAGGAGCGATCAGCTCGGCCCACTGAGGGGTGTCATCTCTGAGATTCTTCACTCTCCCCCAATCCCGTAATGATTGTGCAATTATGTTGATCCTGTCATTTCTGATTCTAAATAGTCAAATCAGCAGGTTTTTGGCACCTAAAAATGTTACTGCTTCCCTGCTTTTAACAGTGGGGTGGAAGTCCATCATTATCTCTTCCCAAATTGTGGGACTGAACAGAACTTTAATTGAAATAACAATAATAACCATTATGATTACAGTGACATGCTTTGAGGCTGGCAATGGCCGAAGATTCACTTGGTGAATCTCACCTCACACTCTGCTCAGCAATATCCATGTCTCTGAACCATTGTGTTTGCATGAGCCTCTTGCTGGGAGAAACTTTGTAAATAGAGATACTGAAGGGTATTGTTGGGCTCCTAGAAGGATGCTGAAAAGCTACAAAATTTAAGATTGCACTTTTTCACTGGGGGGGGGGTGGTCAGGAAAGACTGGTTGGTTGGTTTGTTTATTTTTATGTTCTATTGTCATCTTGTGTTTCTAGTGCAGAACAGTCATTTATTGAAAAAAAAAAAATACTCATCTGACTTTTGCCAAATGATAAGGCATTTTGCGATCCAAAACCTTGTGCCATTTAGCTGTTCCTCCCCAGGAGAAAGACATTATCTTGTATACATTTATAGTGCAGACACTTTCTTATTTATAAGCCAAATAATAATGATTATTTTCAGTTTCGTGATAAATGCCAAACAATATCATTTTAAATCCTGCTTTTTCACATGTATTATGTTTATAAATGCTTGCTTAATACATTACATGCATTAAATCAGGGTATTATCATGAAAACCACTTCCCCAGAAATGCGATGTACTATACCTGCATCATTCATATATATTCATGCAGGGCATCGTTTGAATTCATGGGGACCAAATACCATTCATGGCCCTGCATTTATGATGGAATCTCCAATGCTCTAAAGATCTTCTCACATCTGGATTGACTTAGACCAGTAGTCAAGACAGCTGGTGAGCGCTTCTTTCAGAAGGCCTCACAGAAGAAAAACTGACACTAACAACCTGAATGCTGGTACGATGTTTGCCAAGTCTGCTTCAGTCAGTCAGTCCTTTTACTTAAAGCTGCACGTATATGAGCTGTAGAATTTGTGTGGACCTTGTATGGAAGGAGGCTAATAATAGTAGGTGATATTTGTTGTCCTATGGCTGTATCTGGGCAAAATCGATATGCTTTTTGTCACTGGAATGTGGGCTGCATCCTTTTATTTTTGGCTCGCTCACATATGCTAATAATAAATGCAGTGTTTTTCTTAAGGTCTGACCCACAAGGGTTTTTTTTTTTTTTTTTTTTTTTAAAAGGGTTTTTTTGAAAGAGTGCAAACAGCCATGCATTCATTGGACGCAAGGCAAACAATACACAATGCTTAAGTATATGTCGTTTACCAAGATCGTGGATGATACTTTTTTCAGTCGTATTTAATGGGATATTTTCTCGCGTTGTTTTAGTGGACATTTTGTACTCCTGAACTTCTAGCCCGCCAAAATAACTTCTCTGCTTCAGTTCCATGATGCTTTTTGATGTGTTTTTTGTAATTTTACAGTAAAAACATAACTAGAGTTTAGGGGAGTGGATTATCATCATCTTCAGTACAGGACATTTGTGCGAGCTGAATTACTTCATTATCTAGAATTCCGCATAGTGTCCGTCTTTCATGCAGTAAGCTCTTGGTTCTCTTCCTCTTCCATGTCAGGAGTTTGAATTGAAAGAGAGGTAAATAATTGTATGCATTGTTGTGTGCCTAAATGTAACCTGTTCTGAAAGACATGAAAACATGGAAATGTTTCATTAAATACTAAGTGTAATAAATGACAAGTAATCATTTTTATTAAATTAAAGCAATGAATAAATGACTTTGGATAATCATTGGGGTTTGTTGATTTGAAAGTGTTCTGACAAAGATGAGTGAATCGATGTAGAATGTTCAAAAATTTTTGTTTGTAAATCAGTATTAAACGTTTCGCATTTCTCAGTTTCACAATTAGCTTTTTTTTATAAAATATAAATATATTGTGTAAAATATAAATTATGATGGTTGTAAATTCCTAATAAATTTGTATTTACAAGTAAATAAGACACATGAATGCACCAAAGTAGCCATGCAGTATACCTGGATTGGGCAAAGCTACCCACCCCCACCCGCACTTTTACTTATGTTTCAATTTAAATGGAAAGTTAATTAGTTATTAAGTAAAGTTAGCTTAATATACTATATATATGCATTTGGCACTTGACCCTGTCAAACTGGCTTACTGGATCCTTTCTATCTGGGACTGAACTTTAAACTTGGTTGAAGAACAGTATACGTTTTCAACCATTTAACCAGCTGACAACCTCGTTACAC